GGACAACGCCCACCACCCTCTGCACAACACCTTCACCATACTGGACAAAACCTTCACCATACTGGACAACACCTTCACCATACTGGACAACTGGATGCTTGAATTTCCCTCGGGATAAATAAAGTATCTATCTATCTATCTATCTTCTGAAGGACTCAGTTTCCCAGAATGCCTCTGGTCAGCTCGGTGCTATGCTCTCTGCTGACGCCTGCTGGATGCGGTCGGTAACTGCAGCGAGTCTGAACAAAGTTTTGGGCTTTGAGACCATTTGACACTGAAAAGTTTATTAATTAGATAAATTATTTTTCGTTGCTGTGCTCTGATTGGTGAAAAAAGAAATTTATTTACAAAACTTTATTGTTCCATCAATGAAAAACAGACGTTTATGTACAAAACATGTAAACACAAAACTTCCTGTTCGGATTTTTTTTTACAGTGAAACACAGAATGAAGACATTCACCAATCAATAATCAATAGAGAGAATAGAGGACCATAACACTGCTTTTAATCCAACCCTTTCAAAATAAAGTCACATCCTGTGATCAGCAGTTCATTTTAATATTGATTATGTCAGATTGTTTATAAAGTCAGAAATATCAAAAATAAAAACTGTAAATGTTTAACGTGTGACCAGACCAGCAGGTTGCAGACCGGCGTTATTCAGGATGGTTGTTATTTATTTATTTACATGTATTGTAAACATTTTAATGTGTTTGTTTATCACATTGCTGTGAGCTGGAATTAAAGTCCAATAACAGGAACTGATGAGTCCAATCGGCCAGATGGTGGCGCTGTTAATCCCAAAAATACAGTATTGTAAAGGCTGCGCCCCCTCACACGGCGCCCGGCTCAACGTGCTCCGGCTGTTGGCTGAACCGTCGGTCCGACTGCTACCAAACCTTCTGTGGATCATCATCGGACAGAGCTGATCAATAGTTGCATAAAGCTTATTGATCTCTTATTTAGTGTTCAACATACTGACCAATGAGCTTCAGAGGGGGCGTGGCTCAGCACATAAACAGACAGAAGTCAGTGTGACACTGTTTGGAATCGAACCGTTGGTGAAAATGACGTAAACTGCAGAACGATCAAAAACAGAGTTATGATCCTTTATTACATTTTTTATTATCAGCTCAGAGAAAAACAAAGTGTCTGGAAGTCTAACGAAGCTTCAGTTGATTTAACAACGTCTGAAGGTTCTTCTGGGTTCTAAAACAGGAACAAACCTTTTACTCAGATTGTCACGAAGCTCTGATTTCAGGGTGGAGACGACACGAAGGCACTGCTGCTGAACACACGACCACGGTTCACTGTCCGCTGGTGAGCGTGGAAGATCAGGATTGAACAACGCAGTCAGAAACAAACACAGACCGATGAAATGAAAACGATCAGCAGGACAGAACTGAAGCTAACGATTATTCTCATTACGGATCAATAAGCTGATTAGTTTCTGATTTATTGATTAATCATGTTCAAACTTTTTTTGATCGCAGAAGAAAACAAATATTCTGTCAATGAATTGATCAATGAATCAGGTCCAGGACCATCAGACAGCAGCAGAGGCCTCAGAGTCCAGTCCTGGTTCCACACAGAACCACCTGTGCGTTCAGTCCCGCCCCCTTGTGGCCAAACACCTGATGACATCACTCCACGGGCACGCCGTCCACGCTCTCCTGGGAGATCTCAGAGTCCAGGGAGTAGCAGGAGCTGCCGTTGTCCTGAGTGTCCCTGTTGGCCTCCTCAGAGAGTGCCGTGGTGCCAGCCGAGGCCCCGCCCCCTCCCCCGGGCTCCGCGGCGCCCTCGCAGAAGTGGGCGGAGGCCTGGAAGAGCTGGCTGCAGAGGCGGTTGTAGCGGTGGTAGCGGGACGGTTTGCCAGTGTGGGTGTACATGTGCTCCTGCAGCTGGCTCTTATGGGAGAATCGCAGGCTGCAGACAGCGCAGGCGATCTTACGTTTACGTGAGTGCAAGATGGCGGCGGGGGTGGGGCTGCTCCCGCCTCCTCCCCCCCCAGCTCCTCCCCCCCGGCTCCTCCTCAGCTCTGCAGCCAGCTGGTTGGCGAGCGCCTGGCTCTGCCTCAGCGCCTCCTCCAGGCAGCCCGCGTCCAGTTGCTCCTGGCCCCCCGGCGGCCCCTCCTCCACGCCGGCGTCCAGCTCGCTGCCCTGCGACAGTCCCTCCATCAGACGGGCGGGGTCGAGGGCGTGGCTGAACAGGNNAACAGGTGCTCACGCAGACCCTCGGGGGAGGAGCAGCGCTCGCCACAGCGAGGACACAGCAGGACCAGGGGCCGGTCTTTGAACAGGAGGCTCTGACTGGGACTGCTACCCTGAGCTGGAGACGGAGACTCTGCCCCCTGCCCCTCCTCGCCGTCCTCCTCCTCCTCCAACCGCTCCTGCTTGATGCGGGTTGAGATGTCGGAGTCGTCTCCGGACGCCACAGAGCAGACGTTGCGTAGTGCCGAGGCCTGGCGGTCTGACGGGACTCCCTCCAGTCCAACGGCGAGGGACAGCTGGGAGTGGGACCTCCCCCCCCGGCCAGAGGAGCGTCCGTCATCGGGGGCGCCGCACGACACCGTGGTGGACTTGGGGACTCCGGAAGCCTCCTTGTTGGCCAGCTGGGAGGAGATCTGGATGCCGTAGAGGTTGGACATGCGGACCACGTCGGTGGCGGCGTCGGCGGCGCCCTCGCCGGGTTTGCGGCACAGCTGGTAGGCGTGGAGGAACTTGATGCCTTCCTGCAGACGGCTCTGATCCACCGGCTGTTTGGGACACATCCCCGTGTACATGATGTGGAGCAGGTAGCTGAAGACGTCCGGCTGGATGTCTGTGGGCTGGATCTTTATACACTCACGGAGGAGACAGACAGACAGAGAGATCGACAGAATTGAGAGAGAGAGAGAGACAGGAGAGAGAACAGAGACGAGAGAGGAGAGAGAGACAGAGAGAGGCGAGAGAGACATGAGACAGACAGAGACGAGAGACAAGGAAGACAGAAGAAGGAGAGACGCAGAGAGAGAGACAGAGAGAGACGCAAGAGGACAAGAAAGAGAGAGAGAGAACACAGCAGACAGACATGACAGACAGAGAGACAGGAAGACGACAGAAGAGAGACAGGACAGAGAGACAGAGAGACAGTCATCTGTTAAGAACTGAACCACCAGAACCACCGTGTGCAGCAGGTTTGCTGTATACCGGCTCACTGACCTGGACTGGTGGATGAAGATCATCTTGAAGTAGTTGGAGAAGGCGGCAAGGACGGCTCGGTGGGCTTTAAAGTACACGTTACCGATTGCGACGGTGCAGTCACACAGGAAGCCGAACTCTCTCTGAACGTTGAGCTGCTGCAGCAGGAAGAGGCTGTGAGAGGACACCTCCATGACCCCGCCTGAGAGAGAGACAGAGAGAGA